CACGCTATTGCTTCACCCTTTTCTCTTATATTACAAGAGAAGCAGTAAGTAAAGGACCAATAAGAAGTCAAAAGAGGAGGAAAAACGGCATAACTGCAGAGACTTTGATCTTGATGATCAAGGAATAAAAGGGATGTCCTAAAAGTGCAAACATTTAAAACACCAACATTACTATACAAATAAAATATTATACATGTTACCAGCACTACTCTGCTACTTTTCCACTTATTTTTCAGAGATGGATACATAAGTACTTAAATATCCTCCTTGAAGGATGTGATGTCAAACAATAGAGCCATCTTTGCACCTCATCTGTATAGACCACTTCCTAAATAAATGTCTCATCACATTAGCAATGTTTAAGGTGGTATTTTCATACAATAATGTATACATTCTTCCTAAAACAAGATCTTCTTTTGAGTTATGCTACACTAATTTCCACTACTGGTTGGATGTGAATACTCTGAAACCCAAGACTGAACTAAAATTACGTCAACTGCACATAGGCTTTTACTCACACACTCAAAATACAATCCAGAGTTTCCACCCAATAGCACCCACTCCCGCCTAAAGAAACAAAATAAAAATTGGAGCCAATCTGAGCCTAAGAAAAAGGACATAAAAGCCTATCAATGGAACATCTTCAGCAGTTAGACATCATAACAGCCCGGATTCACAATGTGACTTCCCATTTCCAAAGAACAACTCACAAAAGTCTGTTGCTGCAGTAAATCACAACTCACCCTCCCCTCTCCTACCGTATGCCTCTGTGGGCGACTTTTACAATTCCATATATCTCCTTTTGATGAGAGACATTTACACTGATTCATCATTTGTTGTATTTTTACATTAATACAATTGTTTATTTCTTAAACCTCCATTGTTTTTACTTTGTTCTGCCACCATATGCTTAATATAACAATGACACCCTTAAACATCCTAGTCTCCTTCAACACAAAGCTCACATGTCCATATAATCATTTGCAGTATATGTAGCAGACATAGTGAACCAGAACCAGAGTCAAATGGCAGAAATGGTGAACAAGACTTGCCTTATTCTCAACAAAAGAGAGCTCATCTTTGTCTGGCATGTAGGACTTCAATTTGAGTGAAGGTGAGTACGTTGTTCTGTCAAAAGAGACCTTTCTTTGTTATCCCGCAAGAAATTGGGTCATTAGCAACTTTACATAATATTAGTGTAGTTGAACGGAATCAAGCAGTGACATCCAGGTGTGTTAGTCACTAATTTCTTTTGACCACAAGCTATTTCAGCAAAATGGGGCACAAAGTCAACTTAAAACTCATCCCAGAGTTTGATGGAACTACTTCTGTGTTGGAATGGGTGGAAAAAGTCAAACTAAGTTGTCTCCTGTCCAGGGTGAAAGCTGTCTGTCGAACATGTAATCTCTCTACAACTGAGGAGCAATGCATTCACTGTATATCAACAGCTTAGTGATAAGGAGGAGGCAGATCCAGTTAGAATCAAGGCTGGACTCTATATGGTGTTTGCTAATAACTCCTGCATTGCCTACGAACTATTTGTGGCACGGACTGGGCAGCCAGGCAAAACTGTGGATGTTTATTTGGCCACAATGAAGAAGCTGGTGACCCTGTTTGGCAGACTACTTGAACAAGCGTTAACATATGTGTTCTTAGCAGGGTTCCCGGTTAGAGTAAAGCAACTTTTATGGGCAAACTCTTGTGTAGACTCACTAGTGCTTGACAAATTGGACTGGGCCAGAGCTACCCTAAAAGATGATTCTGCTTTAGAGGAACCTATCGCCGTGGCCACAAAAGCAAATCAAAGTAGTGTTAGAGCATCCCCTGTTTCAGGCTCACACACAGGAATTGTCTGTTATAAATGCAACAGTTGAGGCCATGTGGCAAGAAATTGCTCGAAAATGAGTAGTGCATGTTCATTGTTATTGATGCAATGAGACCAGACATATTGCTTGGGCATGCCTGGGAAACAAGGCCAGGGACAAGATAGCACCAATCTCTTCCCCCAGACAATGTATAAATGAGGTGTTGCCGGTCATCCAAATCTACGTCAATGAGATGCCATGCTCAGCACTCCTTGATTCCGGCTGCTCTCGCACTATAGTAAGTGTGGGACTTTGCCATGGTTGGAAGAAGAGAGAAGTGAGAGTGACCACCATAAGCAGTAAAATGCACACATGTCATGGGATAGGTGTAGTCAGGATCTGTGCAAACACTGGGAATTTTGCTGTCATCAAAGCGCTGGTGGTGCGTGAGAAACCATTAAACGTTGACCTGCTACTGGGTTATGATGTCATCAAAGCCTTAGGTGGTGGTCTCATTTCACAGACTGGAACAGTGAAGTTTTGGAAGGAGGCACTATGTGCAGCACTCAAGATTGACCAACTCAACTTCAGTATTGTATTTGGCCAGCGTTGGAAGATCTGGACCACCTCGTGGAAATGGACAGGAGACCAGGAGCTAGCCATGCTACAAAACCACATAGCTGAATACCATGTGCCTGACCAAATAAGACCTGCATATGAAAAAGAACTCTGCACATGGATTAAAGATGGCTGGTTGATTCCCTATCCTCATAGAAAACTTGAACCTCCTAAAGGCCTGATCCCTTTGATGGCAATTGTACAACCAAACAAGTCAAAAGTCAGACCCGTAATGGATTTCCAGGAGCTGAACCAATATGTCAAAGCATTCATGGCTGATGCTGATGCTTGTGTTATCAAACTGCTGGAATCTAATGTCTCCTTGCTGTATTTGAGAAAGGCCTATTTGCAAGTCTGAGTTGGTGAGTCATTGTGGCCGTTTCAGATGGGGATTTTTGCCAGCAGAAGGTACTGCCTTACCAGACTGGGCTTGGGATTGAATGTGGCAGCGCAGTTAATGAAGGCAATTATCAGTGCTGCGTTGTCTCAAGAAGAGACGTCAATGTACATTGATAACATTTATGTAAACAAAGACATTGTATCATCCCAGCAGGTAAGAGCTAAATTGGCCCAGTTTGGCTTAATCTGCAAGGACCCAGAATGGCTGAAAGATGGCGCCCAAGTGTTGGGCTTGGATGTTCAAGGTGAGCAAGGAACCTTGCAATGGAGATGCGGAACTGCAGTTCCAATGGTACCTGATACACTAACAAGGTGAACAATTTTTTCCCTATGTGGAGAACTTGTAGGGCACTTACCAATGTGCAGATAGCTCTGCATGGCGGCAGGCACCATCAAGCGCAGTCACCAAGGGTTGGGACAATGAGACAACTGACCCTCTGCTTATTCACATAGTGATGGAGACCATAGCAAAAGTAAAGAAGAACGACCATGCCAGAGGAGATTAGTGTGTGCATGGAGAAGAAATGAACCTGTGAGTCAATACAAGTGCCAGGAAGCAGTGTACAATCATGGAAGCAGTGTATAGATATAACACAACACCAAAGGATGACGTGTCTATTACAAGCGCACCTGCCAATGCAATCTACACCTACTAGGTACGAGTCAAAGGGATCAATGGTGTGTATCTGTCTGAACGAAGAGAAGTGCATGGACCATATAAGATAGGAGACTCCGTCTGGGTGAAACCTCCCAATAGCCGGTGTACAACCAACTTCAAAAAAAGAGCATGTCACCGATATTGTCAGTGAGCATTCTGTATTGGTAGACAGAATCCTACACCATGTAAGGGATCTTTGCCCTGTCTTCAAAATGACACCATTGACAAGTGACGCAAGAATGAATCATCTGAAAGTGAGTTGCTCATTGAGCCCATACCAAATGAGATCGATGATTCATCTGAGAACCCAAGTAATAACATTGACAGCTCTGACAACTTTTCTGAGAGCACCTCCAAGGAAGAAATTCAGACCCCCCCTTCAGAGAAGCACTAGAAACAAAAGACTGCATCCACACTGTTATATGTGGGATCATGAGTGTAGCAGATATACTCAACCAGAATCAGAGTCAAATGGCAGAAATGGTGAACAAGACTTGATTCATTCTCAATGAAAGAGAATTTGCCTTTATCTGGCATGTATGACTTCAATTTGAGAGAAGGTGAGTGTGTCATTCCGTCAAAAGAGACTCTTCTTTGTTGTCCCACAAAAATTAGGTCATTAGCAACTTTACATAATATTAGTGTAGTTGGACGAAATTGAGGAGGGACATCTGGGTGTTTTAAGTGCTCCATAACTTAGGTGCCCATATGTCATTCAGGCAAATGATTGGTGACTCATGATTATAAGTAGACCATAGTGGAGATGAGAGGGTGTTCTGTTGGAGTACATTGTATGATACGTGCAGTTGTGATAGGAGGAATGAATGAACAAACAAATGAATGACGAAGCGGACACAAGGAAGAGAACAATAAATACCAAGAAACCAGTGTAGAGGGAAGAAATGCTCAATCTGAAATTTCATCCCACAACAGAGTCACTAATTTCAGTAATGAAGTAAACAATTTCTTTGCAGACTTCTGAAAGTTTTTTTTTTTCCAGTGACAATGGAATCTTTCAGTTCATAGAATCAACCATTGTCTCCTAAGTAACATAATACATCCAGATCTCATCAATTGTGCTTAAAAAAAAAAAAAAAAAAAAAATTAAAAAACCCACCCCCTATATATTCCAAAAGTTGAACAGAATTATCAAATACACTAAAACTTGTGTTCTTCACTCAATTGCTTTGGGTACAAATTAGAATTTTTGATCTTGACATGCAAATTTTATTAAACCTGTGTTTGTGCACTGTTTTATGATGACAATCATCTTTGTTGAAATATCATATGTATGTGCTCAATATTAAAATTTTTCTGGTTGTTGCAAAACATTTTATACCCCAGTTTGGGTTTTCAGCGTTTACAATGTTTTATTTCCAAACAATTTGTTTATTTGTACCTTACTTTTAGTACATCATTTATAACTGCTTTAATGGCTACTTTGGTATCAAACTTATTTTATGTTAAGATTCATAAATGATACTCTGAAAAATATAAATAACAAATCCAATTCAACTTACTTGTTTTTGTGGCAAAACTTTCTGAGCTAATTCCAGTGGAATTTCCAATTGCTCTTAAAAAAACAAAAAATGTCAGAATACTTAAAGACTTATAACATTAATATTATTTTATTTTGTATTAAATGTTAATAAAAGGAACTTTTTTTTGTCTTTCAGTAAATATGGAAAATTCAATCATAAAAATATCTTTCTGAATTCCTTTCTCTCCCAGTCAACGATAAAACTCAGAGTGCTAACTATTCAAATAAGCATGTCAATTTTAATTTATGAATAGAAATCTGATAACTTGTCTTGAAATTTAAATGTCAATTAAATCAAGATGGCTTTAACAAATGTAAAAAACAACAATATAATAATTATGTAATACAGACTAACAGTGGTTGGATCTAACACTAGAAAAACCAACATGTTGAAATTGATTTTATTCTGAATATCTGAAAGTATCAATGTAGAAACTTTGTAACTATTTTTCTTTCCCTATATAAACAGTTTCCAAAGAAAATATATTTCATGAGAAATTTCTCCATCAAACTACCAGCCCAGGTATAAAAAATTACATCTGTTACTCCTTAACATTACAAGCATAAGCTATTGGCCATTAGTTAAACATAACAGCAGCAACAACAACTTAGTCTTTTAATGAACAATTTAAAATAAAAATAAATCACTTGACCTCAATCTTGCTGTAAATTTTGGCACCATCAAAGTCTATTAAAAATGTCCTCTTGAACTAGCCAAAGACAATATCTTCAACAACATTTGACAAAGGTGATTGACAATTTTTTGAGGAATTAACAAAAAAAAAAAATCAAAAATCTTTTTTTGCTTGTTTAAGACTAATTTAAATTTTGTGAAGGCTTCTGATGGGGGGGGGATCAATTCAATGTTTTTATATTATAATTTTTTTTTTAATTAAAAAGGCATATCAGCTGCAAAGATAGAACTTGAGACCAAAAATCATTTGCTTTATCAGAAATTTTACTTAAAGTATACATGCATATATATGAGTGTACATGCAAACACTTACATCTATCTTTAAAAATTAAAAAAAAAAAATGATGAGAGACAAGAGTATCTGATTTTAAAACTATATTTTTTGAAGCAGAAGTCAGTATTGTCTGCAAACACTGACAGTAAATTCAATCCTCTCTGATATTCTGTGCCAGGTTTATATATTTATATTTATTTTTAAAGAGTTAAAAAAAGAAACAAAGACAGTCTGGAGATAATGTCATTTTTTAACTGTTATAATATTGAAATTTTATATATATATAAAGCTATAATATTACAATTATAATACTAATTATTATGACAAAAATAAAGTAATTTTGAATAGAAAATTTGCTTAAAAATGAAAACATCCTTGTAAATTAAAAACATTAACACCACTAAGATGCAAAAACATTCTGCTGAAACAAACTGAAAAGAAATCTATCCACTCTTCTTCCAAGTACAGCAAAACTCATTAACAGCCAACACATTGCTAAGTTATCAATTAAACAAGCTACTTCTGAAGCTTTATCAACTAATGAGCTTTTCAACTTTGGAATTAAGCAATGCCTTCTAATTTTGCTAGCATGCTTAGTATTTCATAGCATTGATGTAGAAAGACATTTAAAAAAAAAGTTAATGCATAGCCACTAATTAATTGAACAGTAATCACAAAACCAGTGGAAGGCCTTAAGTCTGAGAATTTCTTCACTGTGAATACAAGTGTTTTGCTATCCAGTCTTCAATAATATGTGGAGGTGTATAGTCATTACAAAAGGTAAGATATTGTTTCAAAATTACAACATATTTTTGATACTGTATACTGTATTCAAAAAGCCATATTATTAAGTAATATATTCTATATAAGATTGTACATAATCAACATTAAAATGATAAATACTACAGATTTTTAAGTTCCAGAAATGCTTTATACATTTCAAGAGATAAGATTTATGTTCAAACTGAAACTTATATTTGGATAATTAATTCATTTATTTATTCTTTAAGATACAAAACAACTGAATTAATATTTATAAAAATTACAAGCTAAATCTCCTCAAATCCCAACTCACTAAACTAACATATGTTAATAGTTTGGAAAGTAAGCTAATGTTATAGTATACTGTATCTCTTTCTTTTTCATTAATATACTTAATATTTAACTTACCATTAGAAACTGCAACATATTTATGCTAATTAATTTTATAATAGTATTCATTTTTTTTTAAATTCTCAGCTTGACTCAATAAATCTGATTTCTTCTTTTCTAAAAGGAATTTATGCTATTATTTATAAAATTATTTAAAAGAAAAACGAGAACAAATAAAGTTAAATATTATTAAAATACATTTAGAATGTTTAGGCTATAAAGTAAAAAAACAAAAAAACAACACTGGAAAAAATATTTAGAAAGTAAAGATAAAATTTCTCATCAGTACATAAAGAAAAGTTTGTCTATTACAATACTACAGATTAAATTTTTATTTGATAAGATAAAGAATATATCATTCATACCTTGAAAATACTGATAACAAATGTTACCTATTAAGAAATAATGGATATTTTTATTATTAATCCAACTTTTTTATCCAAAAAAAATAAATAAATAAAAATAAAAAACTATTTTTTATCCTTTAATGAAATCATTGTGTAATCCAAGTTGAAAACTAGAGTCAAAGAAACACATGCACATACAATGTGTATATGTATGATCTAGTTTCTAAACTATTTTAATTTGCCTTAACTTCTTTTTTTAAGATATCACAGTGATTAATTTAATATTTCTCTCTCAAAAACCTGTTTGAAAGGAAATTAATTGATTTAAATATTTTATCATTTCTAAAAGTAAATAAAAAGGTTCATTATTGAAGGCTTCTCATGATTTGAATAATTGAAAATAATTTGATGATCATGTCTATATAAAGCACACATTTAATTATTTACAAGTATTTAATGTCAATCATGACTAGTCAAAGCGAGCATAGTTGAAAAGTTATGAACTCCCTTCAAAATAGTTTTTATAAATTACTTAACATAAATTTTTAATAGAATACCATATTCATTATTAACTACCTTGATTAAAACAATATTTTTCTTCAAAACCATAGAAGATTGAACATAAAATTATATCTTAGTGCATAAACTACTTTTTAGATGTGCAAATGGCTAGAACAAGAAATTGGTAAGCAGAGTTTGAATTCCGGTCAAATTCATTATATTCATTTTTGCACAAATACCCTTGGGAAAGGTATGAATCCATTTCTCCCCACAGCTATGGGTTAAACAGCAGAAGAGAAAGGGCCGTGGTTGACAACCAGTCTAAAAGGACAACTGAATTCAAGACCGTGTGTAGCCCTTGTAAAGCACAGACTATGCAGCCAATGAAAAGATAATAGAGTTCAGAATGGCTATGCTCAAAATTGCAGTTGATAAGATAGATAATAGCATAAATATTCTCATGAATTGCAAACTACAAAGCATCATCTTTTGCCCTGACAACACACACACATTTTGATACTATATGAAGTTTAAATTATTATCTGTCAATAATTATAGCTGAAGCTGTTGTTATCTGTAAAAATTTAAGATAAATATTGTGCTTCCAGAAGTTATTTCATTTTTTTTAAACTTTGAAGATACAGTTTAAAAAGGAAATAATTATGAAAGATACTTGATGACAAATTCAAAATAGGCTATTAAAAAGCAAGAAATAAAGACATTAAATTTAATATTATAAATTGTTGAATTCATTATATAACAGGTCTCTTTTATATAAAGTAACTATACATTATTAGTATGTAAACAATAGAAAGAATGTATGTGGGCATATGTATATAAACTTTTACATGGTTATTGTGTTCAATTTAATATAGTGTGAATTTTTGTTAACTAAAAAAATTCAATGCAGTACTGTGAAAACAAAACTTTCCAAAATTCTATAACTTAATATTTGTGAATATTTGCATAGAATATGGTGAAAAAGTAAACAATCATTTTATTTTAGAAAGATTCAATAGAACATTTACATAACTAATACCACTCAGCTCAGTATCTTGATTATTTTATAGGATAGCAAAAAACTGGAAGAGTGTTCCATAAGCAAGAAGCAAGAGAAGAAACTGTTAGCATTGAATTTATGGTTACATCTAGCCATTTCAGCTGTAAAATGATGAGACCTAGCTACCAATCCAGTACTGCATTTAAATTTATGAAGTCAGGGTACCAAAGAAGAAAGTTCATCCAACAATCACCATGAAAATATTTATAGAAAAACACAGAGACTGAAGCCAAGATGTCAGGTCAGGACCAACTTTCCTAACAGTAAACTTAGCAATTGATTCAATATAATCTTTCCACTTCATGTCAGTGGAAAACGTTATTCCAAGACGGCACAACGAGTCACTCCCCTGGAGATCAGCATCAACCATGCTTATGGAAGAAAAAAAAAAAAAAAAAAAAAGTTCTCTGGAATGATTAAAAGTGAGCAGTTTCATTTCGGAGGCATTAAAATTAACAAGTCATTTCTTGCTTCAGTTAAGAACAGATTGTAGGTCATATTTTAGATCAGCTATTGGCTGGATCAGACTTAGCATTAAGACAGGAGTAAATAGTTGTGTCATCAGAATAGATACAGAGTTGAAAACTGATGACATTGGGAAGGTTATTGATGAAAATTAGGAATCAAAGATAATTAGGTTCAAAGATAAGGCTTGAGGAACACCTGTATTAATACAAACACTATAGTTAAGTAGAAAAAGAATTGTTACAAGATATTCCCTAGCACTGACAGTAAAAAGAGAAAAAAAAAATCTAAAACATTTTGTTTGAAATTCCCAGCTTACCAAATACAACATGCTTTTAAGAAAGGCCATGAAGGTATTGACGAAGATGTCAGATAAAATAAAAACATGTTGTCTATAGAGAAATCCAGGTGGTCACTGAAATAACATTCATGATTCATCTGGACAAAAGAAAAGAAAAAAAAAAAAAAAAATCAGCCACCCAGAAGAAAAGTATCCCCACACATTTGTCATAATTTTGGTGACATTCATCCAGAGAAAATTTTATATCCAAAGATTAATTCAGAATCCATTGGATACAAGTGGTAAGAAAAAATTAATTACTATTTTGAAGTGACCATCGACAAGAAAGCTGGGTGGTCTATTCAATCATAAAAAAATGCATTAAGACAGAGAAAAGATAAACTTTCATTTTAAACAGAGTGGAAATAGAATCTTTCTTTTTCCAATACTTGAGTAGTCTGGTCAATCGAGAGATCCACAGCATGAGGCAAGCTGATAGATAAGGACTAATAACTGAAAATCCATTTGTCTTTGGTGCACCATCTGGAAGTTGGATTTATCATTCTAGCCCAGAAAGTGGGCTGAGGTTGACTGTTGAGAAAGTGGAAGGAGAGAGAGAGAGATTAGCACCACCTATATAGAGTGATAGCATGAGATGAGACGTAAAGAAAGTTTGAGTTAAAAGGTAGCTTAATCCCTCTGACCACTCTCAAAAGGGGGCTGGAAAACCCCAAATTTGGAAAACCACTTGAGGAAATGTATTTTTATATATGGAAATTTAGAAAAGGTTGATACTTAGGGTAGAAGACAACCAAACCCAGACCCTAGTCAACTCCACCTTCACAGGACTCCATATAAGCTGAAGATTTGGGACTCAGAAGAACAGGAGACAAGACAAGAACAACAGAGAAGAGATACAGAGAGAGACACACTGGAATCCACATCATTTGCAGAGACCTCCTGACCAAAGACCTTGTCCCACACATGAAGACCAGAACTTAGAAATTCAAGTTACTACTAAAACAAGCTGTAGACTCTGAAGGGGATTCCAGTGTCATTTGGTTATAACAACAAGTAGGAAGGGTTAAAAATGCTGTATACAACAAATCATATAAACCAAATCATTGTTACATTTTTAGCCAGATTTAACTCTTTATTCCAAAGGATTGATGTTTTTTTTGCGTATTCCCAAATTGTCAAACTGTCTTCAAGTTTGCTTCATCAACAATCTTCTCACCCTCTGAGAATAAAAACACAATGTGGCACAGGAGTGAATGATCATGAACTGACAAACACCAACCAGCTAAGTCGAGTGGAACCATGCCACCAACATGATACCAGTGACAAGACAAGTCACAAACTAATGAGTGAAGTGTCAGCTAAATGGTAACCAGGGTGGTCTGAAGGAACTTGAGGACCAACAACTGGGCGATATAATTAGTTACTGCTGACTAGGGTTGACACAGTGGGTTACAAAGTGGCAACAGTCTGTTTCATGCTTGAACACAAGATTATACATTAAGATGTATACAAAATTCAAGAATGTAATATTAAACTACTTTGCAAAGAAAAAAAAAAGGTAAGCAGAAAAAATTTTTGAGTTATGACTTTACTTCTCTCAGATCAATTTAGTGACCTTAAAGTTAAATTAAAAAATAATAGACACACACTTTCTAATTCTAATATTTCCTTCTCATAATGTAATTTATTACTTTGAATTTCTTGGATCCTGGAAATAGGTCTTTGGTCAGTTATACTTAAATCATACTAAATGGCAGTTATCTTCAAGTTAAGATCTATATTGTTCATTCTATATATTACTGGAACCTACTTATTTTATAATATTCACTGATTAATTATATTAAAGACATACACATACAGGAAAAAATAATTATAACACCAAAGTACATATCTATTAATATAGATATGTATACATACTTACTCAGTAGCTTTTCAACTTGACTCTGACACCTCTCTTGTGGAAATTCTTCATCAGTTAAGATACTCTCTGTGTAGAAAGTGAAATCAAGCATAGCCTGAAATTGATTACACATAACACACATCAATATTTAGCATCTTTTAGCTACAAGCTGATTTATTTTAGATAGAGTCAAAATATGTTTAAAAAAAAAAAAAAAAAAAAAAGACAGCTCACAGTAAGAGAGAAAAAAAAGAAATTCTTGTAATACACAATTTTCACGACCAAACAAATGTCTATAAACAGCTTCAATTTGTATTTCTCCAATTTTAAATCAGATTCTCTAAAATTTATTCCAGTTAAATATTTTATATTTTAACCCAAGATAGAAAAAATGACATTATATCACCAAGTCATAGATTTCTCAAAACAATCCACTTTACCCAGTTCAATTTATTGTCACTGCTCCTAAAGAAAATTAATAGTAGAAATTCAAAAATTTATTGACATTCACATTTATTTAAAGAAATATAAACATTCATGTCTTGTGGCTAACAAATTTAAAACTTAAAAGGTTTAACTTTAATTACAACAAATATAAAGTGCTTAAAAAAATAAATATATATTAAGAAAATCCTACCTAAAATGATGACATTTTGATTTTTAAAGATGTACTGATGACGAATCAAAAATAATTCCATTTAAATTTGATTTAAACAGGTGATTTTCAATATTTTCTTCACAAATTATTTCCTTAAATAAATTATGTTAACCCTATATTTCAATATCCCTGCTACTAATTATTTCTAGAAAATGATTTAACCTTTTCAAAGAAATTTTTATTTCACCAATATAAGCTAAGCATGAAATTCAGTAAAGACCAGAAATTCTTTTGTTTAAATTCCACAAATAAGGAATTACTATACACAGAACTATTCATGTTTACACCCACACCTTGGTTGTTATAGTCAATATTTTGGCTGGCTTACATTCTGATGTTCTTCAGGTACCTGCTATATTGATAACTTGGGAATTTCAAACCAAAACCTTTATTCAATCCCCAAAATTAGACTGCTTTCATCCTACTATGTTAGAGAATATCTTGTTTCTGTTAATTTATCTTTGTAATGTCACTTTTGCTTTTTGCACTAAACTAGAATATACATAACTTCTACTACATGATTAAGAGAACAAACTCAAATACTTGGTAATTGGTTTCACTTGACCAATGCTTTTACTACTAGGCATGCTATTCTTCCACAAGTGGAATTTTAGAGTCTTAAATCTCAAATCTGACATTTTCTAATTAAAATATTTCCTATGATTATTTCTATACTAGATTCACTGACTTATAATAACCTTATTCTCCAATATTGCTCTTTGATTAACATTGTTCCCCAGGAGGTGGTGAGCCACCAGATTTTTCTACTTTTAGGAAGCAGCAGTCTTGGTTTTTTTATTCCTTGTTACAACTGCATAGAATGGAATGATTATATATATATATATATATATAAGAAATGGACAAAGTCCGACAATTTATTTTATTAAAGACATTTTTTTTTATGTTTAACGTTCTTTTTTATAGATACAAGTATTTAAGTAAATGCTCTGTTTATAATAAACAGTATTAAATAACATTTACCAGCCTGAATGTCCGAGAAATTTTCATAGAAAATATTTGTCCTTTTCTTTTTTTTCTCATTCAGGCCGGTAAATGTTATTTAATACTGCTTATTATAAACAGAGCATTTACTTAAATACTTGTATCTATAAAAAGAACGTTAAACTTAAAAAAAAATGTCTTTAAAATAATATATATATATATATATATATATATATATGAATAAAATTAAAGGAAAACTTATTTTGGCGTTACAAAAGTCCTTTATTCATAGATTTTTTTAAAGATATTTTGTGTTCTATCTGAATAATTTTACATAATATCACAATTTTAGGAAGATTTTTTTATATATATATATATATATATATATATATATATATAAATAAATTGGTATTGTAGAGAACTATTTTGCTTAAAGCATTATGCCCCTTTGATGTAGTCCTACTGTTTCCTATACTATCGACCACTTTCTTGGCAGACTTTTTTTATCTTTCTTTTTCTGATGTTTGGCCTCCATCCCCAGTAATTGTGATTTCAGCATTTCCATTTTGGCTGTATGGAGATTCCACCCTCAATGAATTTAGTTGGTTTGTGCATATTATGTACAATATTTGTTACCCTTGTAACATAATGGGCTAGCCAAAGGGGTATAAATTGGCCATTTTCATAAAAAACAGTTGCTGACTACCTGATGAGTGCATAAAAACACATGAAACTTAGTTTTTGATGGATATTTTTAATTGGGAAATTTGTGTGTGTGTGTGTATTATATATATATATATATATATATATATATATATTAGTTCTTTTCCTCTTCTGGTAACAGTTTGGTTCTGGTGAGGTATATTAAAAAATGAGAACTGCTTTTAAATAGTATCCCAGAGAGCCAGAATCTTTACTGATACACCTCTGATGCAAGAGAAACTCTAGTAGTGGTCCTGTGCTAGTTGAAGTACAGGTTGATACAGAAGTCTTGTCACCTCTACATAATATAATTTTTTTTATTTCAACACTCAGTGGGATATTATCTAGGAAACAGTTTCACATGAATAATACCAGAATACCCATCAGCCGTTTGGAGTGCCTTTGCAACAATCAACAAAGCACAGCCTCATAAAATATCACACAGGACATGGTGTCGCACCATTTTGTGCCACAAAAATGGTGGTATTCATACAGACCTTCTCGATGTGTGACAGCTTCAATGAAAGGGGATAAACTGAATCCAATACATGTGCTTTGTAATACTGTATTACTTGTTCTTCTATTGTTCGTATCACTTTTTGGTAAGGGGTAACAAGACTTTCGGACCACTTGGCAGATTTTATAATTCTTAGTATTTATCTCATTTTGGTACATATCTGAGTAACTTTTTGCTTAATTCTGTAGACAATGGATAGAACCTATCCTTATGCAGTATGGATGGTAGAAATCAAATTTCAGATGTTGTCCAGTGAATATTAGGTTACAATATATGGATGTCTTGAACAAATACTTTGTGCAAGTTAAGAGTACATCCAAGAAAGCCAATTTATCATCCATTTTCTATTTGGACATGAATCATACTGCAGATCTTAAGTTCATATGACCCACTTGTATATATTTCTGGTGAGGTGAGAGTATTAAGGTGTTATATATTTTAGTGAGATGGTTTGTTTCAATTGTGACATTTTTAAAGCCATTTCCTAAAAATATTCCACATATATATTGGCCATCACTTAAGATAATTGTGATCCTAAAGCCATGTCTTCTTACCAATATGCTACATCTAAAGTGGAAGTTGGTTGTTTGCTTGTAAAAAGTTAACATTAGCATTATGATCATACTAGTTTATCTTGAGTTTATTATTATGAACCTTTATGAACAACAGACTCAACAGCTTTTTGTCTTCATAAAGTGGATAGTTTCTTTACCTAGGGTATCTTTTTCAAGATCTTTGATGCTTTCTCAGTTTTTAATGATAAGAGCCTACCTTAGTTTGCAGTAACTACCATCCCCAACTAAGCTTACTAATTTTTGAGTATTCAAATATTGTCATCACCATTGCACTGCTTTTGTCTACTTGTAGTATGATGCTGTATCACATTACAGTGTTTTGATAGGCATTTTTACTTATGTGAAGGTTAACAGCTATCTAAACTCATCTGCCTATTTCTTAGAGACTTTCAATGCTGTTTCTTCAGTTGCAGTTACTGCTAATACAGATCTCACATTATAGTCATGAAATTGCTTAAAACCATTTTCCTTGAAAGGTATTTAAACTAGTATTTGCAGATGCTAACAAGTGGAATTGACTTCAAGTAGAAAATATTACATGGTTAGCTGACTGTGTCAGTTTTATCACAGTTTACTAATAATCTCTCTTCTATAAAAAAACAAAAAAAAAAACAAGGAACAATAGTTCACATAGATCAGTGCATAATATTCTTTTTAATACATTTTGTATGTACAACTAATAGGGTTAATGATAATTACCAAATCTAATGCATTTTGGTATACCCATGCAATATACTCAAATCTAAAATAATCTTCAATGAAAGAAGTGATAAAAAAGAAAAAAGAAAACAATGATAGAATGCAGTAATGAAAAAGAAAATGGGAATTGTGCCACAGAGGTTTCTTCAAAGGTTAAATGCTTTTGTACTTTCTTGAAAATACCAGGTGAAACCACAATCTTCCCATTGGTTCACACCAGCTTGTTCAGCTGCTATAGCCCACAGGAATCACTTCTTCCAGCTGTACTAGTATAACAGTTCTGAACACAACAGACAACTCTGTGTCTGCTCATAATAATTTTGTGTCCTCAAAGAGGACGAGTCTTTCTTTACTGATAGAATGAGGCACTGTATAGCTTCCCCGTGCTTTTTCTATAAATACTGTCATGGTAATTGTTCTGATGAACTTTCCTCTTTGGTACCTAGACCTTATGAATTTAAATGGTATACTAGATTGGCAGCAAGGCCTGATCATTTTATAATTGAAATGGCTAGATTTAACTGCACGTTGTATGCTAACAGTTTATTCTCTTATACTTCCCCATTATGGAACTCTTCTAGCTTCTAATCAACTTTGATCTTCAAAAATGTAAATGCAATTTCAATTATTATCTTTTGTATTCCTTATTCCAGTTATTTTATTGTTCTCACTCCTCAATAGTCTTATTATTTTTCATATTCCCATACTCAATAACCCCCTTGCATCATAGTGGCTGTATTGCCTTACTTGGGATGATTAAAAGAAAAAAATTAAATTCTCTATCACTAGTTATGAAAGCACAAATATGCAATAATTATCTAAAAGCAAATATATATATAAATATATATATATATATATATATATATATATATATATATAAGTAAAAGAAAAGCAGGACGAATATAAAAAGCTATAATATCAAAAGTCATAGATGCTATATATCTAACAAATTTAAGAAATGGTGACTCAATTTATTCAAGAATGATGAAATAAGTTCTCTTTATATCACCCAGTGTCAAAAATATTTACTAAACCAAGTTATCATTCATAGAAGATGTATTAATTCTTTGCTAATACAAGTATCTATTATTTTATAGCATCATTATAAGTGAACTTCAAATCAATCGGTTGATCTCAATATAGGATTCCATAATATTAGCTAGCTTTTTTTTTCTTACCTGTTTATTCTCTTTCTGTACAAAATATATTACAAAGTATGTCTACTTTTTAATGCATACCATGCAAATAAAAATTGTTTATTCTTGCAATGTTAATTTTTAGATTATGAAGAAATTTAGAAATAGTTCAATTAAACTAACAAATCCTCATTTGAATTTATGTAAATGAATATTTTCTAAAATTAAAATCCATTTGTAAGTGTGTAAATCACTGATTAATCTATTTAAGAACTTAAACACTATTATGATAGAATTTTTAAGTACTCATAGAAAATAGAACACCATATAAACAGTTTCAATTTTAGCTGACATTTTATTAAAATTTATTAAACAATTGATGAAAATTAACAGCAATAAACAGTATTACTCAATTTATTTGATTACTAATGAATAACATTTAAGTTATAGTAAAAAAAATACTAACAGTAATAAGAATATAGTCTGAAATATTTACAAGTAGAAAGAATTTTTGGAGATGCAGATATATTTATATAAATATTGTTCAACAAAGTCATTATTAGCAAAGAAACAAACACACAACCAGTTTATATGGATATCTTGACAACCAATAGACAAGTTATATAACCATAGTCATAAAAAAAATTGACAGTGGTAAAAAGAAAGACTAGTGCACTTTTCTGAGAGTTGATTTTGTAAATATAAAATGTTAAGGTATATGCAATATACTTTACAAAGAAACGATAATTGAGATATTCTTACCTGAGCATACTGTTGCAATTTGGTTTCAACAGATGATGTTGCCTTTTCTGATAAACATTGTTTACACATATTTTGGCATTTGTACAATGGTTCTTTGTCACCTGTAAGTATAAACATACCAGAGAACAGTCCAATGAAAGTCACATTGGTATTATTTTATGTAGAATATGTGCAGGTAAAATAAAAATAAGATTGTATACTCAGACTATAAGTTTTCTATCAAGTTGGCTTTATGATATATGACAGACCAAAGGGCAATTATGATATTAATATTATTCTGCTCTTTTTGATAAAAAAGCTCAAAGAGAATGAATAAGAATAATAAATGTATCAGATTGCCTTGTGCCACATTGGTAAAGAAATTTCAAATTGGAACAGAAATAAATTTATATGCTCTTTATATACCTAGAAGGAAACACTGATGAAAAATTCTCTGAAAACTTCATTATTCTCTCAGAAGCCTTATTCAAGGAATGAATTTTCAGGTTTTTAGACATGCCTTGACTTGTCAACCAGTAATGTTTAAGCATTTTCATATTAACACAAACTTTACTTTCACTCTCTAAAATGTGTTAGTCATAATCTCAAATCAACTTCTGGAATAAATACAAACCATTAAAACTGATCAACCATAATTCTGATCTGCTTTTATTAAAGCTTGTAATTATACAACAAAACTCAGCTCAACCAACTACACTACGTGCCAAATTATTATTGAGATAGCTTTTTTTCTAATATTTCAAAAACTGTCCAATCAATTCACACAAAACTTTCACACAATGTTGGCAACACTAACCTACGCAATCACTGAAATTTTCATACTGATCTGTGCAATGTAAACAAACTGGCGCCATATATGTTATCGGCACAGTGATTTGAGCGTGCCAAATTAATAGAATGGTTTAGTAAAATTCCCAGAATTGAGCAAACAAAACGTTTATTAATGTTGCACGTGAATGTTTATGATCAAAAGAAGCTAATAAATAAGATAATCAAACAAATAATAACAGATACAAACAAAGGCACAGTTTTAAACAAATTAATAGGGAATGTGCTTTCCCTATTTTGAAATTACTTGAAGTCGATCCATAGAATTTGTTAATTGTAGGATGTCATCTGCTGTAATGCCGTGAGATATGTCAAGACTTGCTTCCCACAACTCAGTGTTGCTCCTGAATTGTTGTCTGTTGGCGTACAGTCTTCGCTTCATGATGCTCCAAAGGTTTTCGATTGGGTTCAAATCCGGAGAATTTGCTGGCCACTTCATTTTTCAAGGTCCATCGAAGCCTAACTGTTTCAAATATTCAGTAGTCTTGTGAGCAGCATGTGAGAGAGCATTACCTTGCATAAAAAACAATGGCCCTTCTGAAGGCAACTCTTTGCCTTTTCATCCACGGTTCAAGATGCTCCTTCATAAACGCTATGTGTGCATCAGCAGTCATTTCGACGCCATCTGGTACTCTCCATGGGCCCACTAATGTTTTTCCAATAATACCACCCCAGATCATTATGCCTCCACCGCCTTGTTGGTGTCTCAAACGCTGATGGCAATTCTGTCCGTTCATTAACCAGCCTTTGCACCATCTATCTGGCCCATCAAGTGTTGCTTGAGTTTCATCTGTGAACAAAACTTTAGAGAAGTCAATCTTCATATTGTCCTCGGCCCATTTCAATCAATTTTGAATGTGATTTCTTGTCAACGGAGACTTCAATACAGGTTTGACTATTGTTGCTATTTCCCTCAGATACCAACACCAAGTACTTTTAGACACAGTAGGATCCCCAATGCGACTGAAAAGCTCTTGACTAGTAAGTCCGGGGTTCTTCATGGCCACTCGTTTAAGTCATGACATGAGACGACATGAAATAACCCTCGGCTTGCCTTTATCTGCCCTTTTGCGTACTTGTGTAGGGTCGGCGGTGAACTTTTTCACTGTTTGATGACACCTCCCTATCATTTTAGAAATTTCTAGGGTAGATTTACCTTTTGAGACTTCTGAGGCAATAGTTTTCTTTTCAGCATCACTTAAACTGCTTTTACGGCCCATCTTTTCGCTAAATTCTTACACTTTTCTAATAATGTGGCATGCTCAAATCACCGTGCTGATAACAAATAGGGTGCCAGTTTGTTTACATTGCGCAGATCAGTACAAAAATTTCAGTGATTGCGCAGGTCAGTGTTGCCAACATTGTGTGAAAATTTTCTGTGAATTGATTGGACGGTTTTTAAAATATTAGAAAAAAAAGATAATTTGGCACGCAGTGTATTATTTGATGTTCTATCCAGTGTTTGCAATTAATCAAACTCCAACTTGACACATTCTCATGATAGGATCTTTTGCGCTTAGTAGATCTTTGTCACCATATTTATTACATTTTGGCCGTTGTACGTTCCAGCCCTCTTCAAGTAGTTGTCCTCAAGGTCACATGGCACAGTGGATAAAGGTGTTGGTTAGATCCAGTGACAGGACCCAAAGAGTGGGAGTTCAATACCTGGTTAAGGCAGTGGAGAACTTTCAGAGGGAAATTAACAGGAGATAACTGATAACTGACATCCATTAAACATGGCACATGGAACTAGAACAGTCTACCCCAGTGAGTGAAATAAAGGGTTAAGTTCAACATTCCAACCACCTGAAGAAGGCCAGAGTGTACAACAACCGAAACGCTGTAATAAATATGGCAACATAGATGAGGACAATAGTCCGAATAATGTAAATAATGTATGCAGACATGTTTTATTATTCTGCAAATGTCAAGACAGTCAGCCAGAACAAGTGAAAAGAGATGGCACAAGGAAAGTCACAAGTTTGTGAGATTTATACATTATATATAAGAAAACAATATTTCAAAAATAGAGAATAAAAGTACAATCATTTACAGATTATATACAGACTCCCAGCAATAAAAAAAAACTGTTGCTTATGTTTACAAATATATATCAAACAAATTAGAAAAAAAAAATCCTGTGGATGTTCTTCCAAAGAATACATCCTTATTTACATCTTTACAGATATTCTTTTCCAACAATATTCAGATTGTAATTTTAAACTTTCTAACATTGTTTTAAACAAATACCACAATGAACAAACTGATAAATTTGAAACCATTTTCTTGAAGGCTACCTTGCCATTAACAGTATTTTTGCTTAAAGCTATTTAACTCAAGTTAAAATTTGTATTATACAATTTGTTCAGGCATAAAACTGTACAAGTTTTTGTGGTATTTTTCTGTAAATGTTTTCAATTTGGTACACAGAAAAACCAAGAAGATTCAGAAATTCAATTCTACACTCTAGAATTTAAAAGTGTCAATTGTGGGAGTAACAATCACCTTCCAGTTTTATGCAAACTCAAACTAAAATTACAGAAATTAAAGAAATCCAAAGTAACACAAACTACAACACAGCAGAATCCAGGATGATTCAGTTTGCAAACAAATGCATGCTGATACAGTCAAGAGCAAATATAAGAGGTTAGAAGGGGTCTGGAATCCAAACTGGAACACCTTAAAGGAAGATCTAGTGAGATCAACAATTGAAATCATCCCATGGAGAGAGAAAGAAAGAAACTGAAGAGATTCTCAAGCTGGTGAAAGAGATTCAAACTATCAATCAGGATAGACAAGATAACTGAAATATATGACTGTGAGGAAATACTGGGAGATCTTAGTATATCTATCTCCATAATGATGTCTAAAAGCCAAGTCTAAATGAATGAACTCTATTGGACAATCAATTTAATGAGCTAGATAATGAACAGAGCTTATAGCATAATTAGATGAGAAAGAGCAAAAACAGTATAATTTCTTTCAAAACACTGGAACAAGAAATGTTATCTTTATGACAAGAATATTATCAGAGCAAGTGATACAAATGCAGAAAAACCTATACTTATGTTACATAGATCACACAAAAGCATTTGTTGTTAAAAGTACAACACAAAGATATATTTGAACTGCTAGGAAAACTTTTATTCATTCAGAACAAATATTGCAATAATTCAGAATATTTACTGAGAGCAAACTGCCTGCATATGGATAGAAAATAAGTTGAGCACATACACAAACATAGAAAGTAGGGCAAGTCAAGGGTCTGTTTTCTCAGACTTATTTAACTGTTACAGTTAAGCTAAGAACTAAAATTCTACCAGGATTTTCTTTTTGTTTATCTGCATGTGCTATCTTAACATAAGATGATACCATGTTTATTTCTGACACAGAAAGAAAACTACAGGGACCCCTAGACAAGGTAGTAAAGGAAAGTGGGAAGAAAGGACTAGCCATCATATATGGTCATCAGCAAAAGAACTCAAGGTGTGAGCCACAAAATGGAGATGTCAGAATCAAGCAAATACAGAAATTTAATTATCTGAGTAGAATATCATGACAGGAGATAAAAAAATGTGTCACAAAAATCTGAAGGTTCATTGTAACAGTGAAAAGATTCCTTCCAGAAACTAAGAGATGGAGAAATTTTGTTAGAAAAAAAAAAGAAAAAAAAGAGTGCTCAACCAAAAATGTAAGGAGACTTTTACCAACAGAGATGTGGTTCTACAGAAAGAGTCTGTAAATACCATGGACAAAACATGTAAGCAATGAGAAAGTTTTAAGAAAAATGGAAATCAAAAGAAGGGCATTTATACCGAGAATCAGAAAGAGAGTTGAAATTTTGACAATATATATATATGGAAGGAAGGCTTGAAGGATTTAACACTCACAGTACATATTGAAGGCAAGAGAAACAAAGAGGGAAACAGAAAGTAATCTACCTAACAAGTTTGTAGAAATGAATGGCAGAGCAGGGATGATAAAGGGACAAATGTTTTTAGAGGTACAAAAAAAGACAAGTAACTCTGAAGATTCATGGCACATAAAAAAGTAAAAAAACTGAATATCAGGCAAATATTTTCTTTTATTTCCTATACTAGAAGTGTGAGTGATGTAAAGCTAACATTTTTTTTAAAGGCTGCCTCACATTTTGCTCAGTGGTTACATTTTAAACTTTCCAAAATTAACAAGGAAATAAATCCAAAATTGTGTCTTACAAAAAAGAAAAAAGCAGTTGTTCCTTGTGCTTGAAAGGGCAAGTTTGTGTGCAGCA